GGGTTGCCTTGATGGGTAATTGATGTAGGAAGTCCAGGCCACTGTGAGTGGCATCATTCCCTTGGCTGTATGAGAATGCTAACAGAGCATAATCCTGCCAGTGATAGAGCCATCAATCAGTGTTCCTCCATGGTTTCTGCTTTAAGTTACTGCTTTAGATCCTGCCCTCACTTCCTTCAAGGAGGGGCTATGATCTGGAAGTGTGAGCCATATAAATCATTTTCTCCCTTAAGTTACTTTTAGTCATGTTTTATCCAGTTTTATCAAATAGAACAGCCAGTTATGAGGCTTTTCAGAAACTGTCAGTAGATATAAGGAAACTAGCATTGGGGATGTTGAAAAGTGGGAAAATTCCAGATCTTTTTAGGATATAAAGACAAAAACCAGATTGGATACAGAAGATGGAGAGGTATGGGGATAGCCTTAGTTTGTTTTTTGACTTTTGAGTTGCTTTTACCTATGGGACATTTTACTAGATTTGTATGAATCTGAAGGTCATAAGAAGGATCCTGGCAAGAGACAAATAGTGGTAATCATTAGTCCATTGGTGGTTTGGAAGTAGGTTATCTTATTAGGAGTGAAAATACAGAATGGAAAAATAAAGGGGAGGGTCCTGGAGAGATGGCTCAGCAGTTAAGAGTTAAAACTGCTTTTCCAGAGGATCTGTGTTTGGTGCCCAGGACCCCATAGGGTAGCTGACAGCTCTAGCTTAGGGATCCAACACAAAGATGTTAAGAGGTCCTAGGCAAAATACTTTAAAACACACACACAGTAAAAAAATACAAGGTGCATGGCTCCTGAGGAATGACCCTCAAGATGATCTCCAGCGTCCATGTGCAGACTCACACACAGAGACAGACAGACAGACAGACAGACACACACACACACACACACACAAAAATTCAGCATTTAAGGAATGTCTTTGGAAAAAGCAAAAGAAGCAGAAAATAGATGAGAATGGGAAGTGTTGATAACAGGAACTTGTGGATGACTGGAGCGTTGTCAAATGTGTCAGATGTTTGGTGAGAGCTTGAAACAGCCTTATTTTGAAAGGTGTCACTGTTGATCTTGGAGAGTACAGGTGCTGAAGTAGTCAGGGTGGCCCACTGACTCCAGTGGATTGATAAGAACTAAAAGGTTTGGGTGTTAGTGGGATGTGATAGATCTTAAGTCAAAGAGAAGTTGAAGTTGAGGTTTGTGTTTGGTTTTGTATAGCTGTTTTAAGTGGGAAGAACAATACTTAGAGGGGGAAAATAGATAGCTACTTTTATGGGAGGGAGGATTATAATCTCTCTTCTAAAAATTGGACAAATGGGATCTAGGAAACATGATGAGAAGTATCTAGTAGATTGTAACAGGAAGGAGATGATTGGTTATGGCTAAATTTTTAGATTACACCTTTGTAGAGTTAGAAAATTTAAGAAAATTGAGAAATGTTAATGTGCTTTGGTGTTGGTTCACTTATTTTAGTGTTGGTTCATAGCTTTCTTCCCCCGCCCCTTTGACAAGGTTTGTAATCTAGGCTAGCCTAGAACTCACTTTGTCATCAAAGATGACTTTGAAATCTTGGCCCTCTTACTACCGCCCTCCAAATGCTTAGATAACAGGCATGCATTACCATACCCAGCATTTAAGTTCTCAGCTTTTGGGGGCAGGACAGAAGGTTTTGAGTCTCTGTAACCCATGCCTTGAGCTTGTGTCCCTCTTGTTTCATCCTGCTGAACCTGGGGTTGTAAGGGTATGTGGCAGCTGCTTTTTCCTAATATACATGTTCTTTTCTTGAAAATGATCTATTAAAAGAAATATGTAAAAAAAAAAGTCACCTCAGGTAGGATAAGGTGAGACCTTAGCAGATAGCCTGAGAGGGCCTGTTTTGACCTCCATCAGTGTAGGGGCTGAGATCTCATCACACTGCCTGAGAACACCTGGATCCGGCCTCATGGTGATAGAATCCCACGGAAATGGGCCAACAGCCCATGGAAAACTGACAGTGCAGAGACCTGAAAGTTCATTGCCTTGCCACAATGGAAGGAAGATCATCCCACACCTATCACCCCCTCCAAGGCTCAGGAAGTTTTGAGGAAGAGGTTGGCGGAAAGAATGTAAGAGCCAGAGAAAGGGGTGGAGTATCAACTGGAAATGTCCTCTGACCACTGTGCCAGCAAGCTATAGTTGCACCTCCTTATGCTCATCAAGGAGTCAAGGGGGGAGTCAGTTACCCCTCCTACCCAATCAGTTGACCTTAGCTGCATGTGAAGGAGAGGCTAAGGATAGATAAGCTGAGAATGCCAGGAGGCACCTCTCTCACCATTTTGTGTGGCTATCAGGAAGTCACAGGATCTATATTTGAGTGTAGACTTTCAGTGTACCCAGTGGGGGGGGCACCCACTCCTCTGTAAATAAACCCCCACCCTATGCTCTGTTTTTTAAAAAAGGAAATGATAGGTGTTTGAATAGATAGATGAGAGGGATCTGACTAGACTGCAAGTGGATGGACTTGCACTGGGGAATGTCTGGGGACACTGACTTGACACAGTGGGCCTTAACACCCAGGATAGAGTCTATGGGTTCCAGTGGGAGGGTTATGGGAGGAGTCTGGTGAGGATGGGGCTATAAAGATGAACCAGATTGTTTGAAATATTCTGTATGAAATACAACAAATTTAATAAGAACAAATTTAAAAACATATCACCTCTCCATCCCTGTGTACACACATCAAAATAATCTTGGGAAAACTTTTCTCAGATTCTAGTCAAGTAAACTATTGTCTCATTTTTCTGTCTGAATGCTTAGTCTACTATAGAGGTGATTTTGGTAATAAACCTGGTATATATTGACAATTCTTAAATGCTTAATCAGATGTTAGATATTTACATGTGACATGAAAAATCCATTTTTTTGCTTTGCTTAATTGTCATAATAAAGTGCCCTGAGTTTC